AGAAGTCATCTAACCTTTTCTTCCAAGACATTTCTCATGTTAGAATTTCTCAGACAAATATTCTGATGAGTTTTACAACCTGTTGAAGGAAAAATAAACCAAATCTTCATTTAGGTGCAATCCGTGCTGCAGGACAACTGCACTGTTCACCTGAACTCCTGCCTCACACCAGAGCCTCCAACATCCTCTCTCCGAAACGGGTGAGGCTCAAGTGACTTTAAGTTTGCAGTTGTCAAGGTTTAAAGTGAAATGCAGCTGCAAAACACCTGCCCAAAACAGCTGAAGAACACAACCATAACTGATCCCTGATAAGTAACTACTAACAGGGGACAATCACAGCATTGTCCAGGTTGGAAGGGACCTTTCTGATTATCAAGTCCAAACATCGACCTAACACTGACAAAGCCACCACTCACCCATGTCCCTCAGCACCACGTCTGCCCGGCTTTTAGATACCTCCAGGGATGGGGACTCCACCACTGCCCTGGGCAGCCTCTTCCAAGGCTTGACAACCCCTTCTGTGAAGAAATTTTCCCTAATGTCCATCCTAAACCTCCTCTGGTGCAACTTGAGGCCGTTTCCTCTTGTCCGATCACCTGTTCCTTGGGAGAAGAGACCGACCCCCCCTGGCTACACCCTCCTTTCAGGGAGTTGGAGAGAGCAAGAAGGTCTCCCCTCAGCCTCCTTTTCTCCAGGCTGAACACCCCCAGCTCCCTCAGCCTCTCCTCGTAAGACTTGTGCTCCAGACCCCTCACCAGCTCCGTTGCCCTTCTCTGGACACAATCTAGCACCTCAATGTCCCTCCTGTCATGAGGGTCCCAAAACTGGACCCAGCACTCGAGGTGGGGCCTCCCCAGTGTCCCCAGTGCCTGGTACAGGGGGATGGTCACTGCCCCAGTCCTGCTGGCCACACTGTTCCTGATGCAGGCCAGTTCAGCACTTGCCTGAGCCAGGCTTCAGCTTGGTGTTAAGGGTACAAACAGCATCTCAGCAACAACCATCAGTTTTAAAGGCTTTATTCAGCATGACTCTGGAACCTCTGTCTCCACACTCTATTTATAGCTCGAGTCACTCTGCGATCATGATGCAGGAAGCACTGACGGGCTGCAAGCCATTAGGAAAAAAATAAACCTCCACGAGTAGCATGACTTTATTGGAAATAAATCATGCTAAAAAATGATCCTTAACAGGTACAAAAAATTCAACATAAGGAAAAGAGAAGATTGGATGCGATACCAAGAGCAACATAAGAATTAAAGACTGCTGTGAAAGATCATACTGAAAAAAAAAAAAAATGCAATGAGGAACAGTAACACAGCATTAAAGGTGGGAGCACGGGGCAGACGAGATACAACACATCCTGCTTCCGTATTTCTCATCCGTGTACTTTGTTCAAATACTGTCACAGTAATGGAAGGCAAAAAGCACCAGACATTTAACTAAAGAAATAAGAAAGAAGGAACAGAAAATTAGGAAAAAAAAAAGTGAAAGCTCCTAATTAAGGAATCATCTCAAATACAGTTACTCAACAGAAACACAACACTTGGAAAATCTGCTGTCAACATATTTAGACAATACCATTATTCCAGCATTATGGAAATGACTCTGTTTTCCTGGTCTGTTACCTCTTCCACATACAGGGGAGACACCGAAAATTCATCAGAGGAATAAAAGGGGAGGAAATTGTTCCCATTGACTTAGAAAAGCCACAATTAGGAGGCCACGGAATGGGGGACAAAACATTATTAAGCCCTAAACACATAATTCCAGTTTGGTGGGAATACTGTGGATTATCTTCCAAAAAGCCAAGCCGCCCTCAGGGCAAGGCAGGGGGTGGTATTCCCAAGCAGAAGAAGTGACAGAAGCTGGGAGCAAAAGATCCTACAAAATAATCTTATGTAGGAGAAAGTAATCCCTGTGTTGTCTCCTTACAGCTGCCAAAGCAAGCACACATTTCACTCGGTCATCTGCTGAGGGGTGGTAGCTTCAAAGAGGGCCACTAAGGACTTTATAATCGGAATTTGAGTTTGAAAGTTGGTTTGTGGGGTTTTTTTTCTATTCATTCTTAAAGTTATCCAACCAGAAATTCAACTGTGCATAGTTTGGAGGTTTTGGTGGTGGAGACTTGTCCGAGTTGTGACCTGACAGCACAGAGATGGTGTAATGCAGGGTTTGCATAGTTTGTCCCCTCCCCAGCCCAAAGAACATGAAGAGGAAGAAGTCACAGCTTAGGATTTTGTTGCATTTATGAAAAACACAAAATGAGGAAGAAACCCCCCAACAAATATCCCCAAAATAATCCCATTTACAGAGGCTTCCCCTGCATCCCCCCCAGTGGGAACTGGGGAACAAGAGACTTACAACACAAGTCATGGCTATTTCACAAAGCTTCATTGTCTTAAATGAAGTTTATTACAGGCCCCAGTGAAAATATCAAAAGAATCACCAATGCATACACTTCTGCACCTTTGCCCAGGTTGTTCTTCTTGTTCTAGAGTGGTTAAGTGCCTTTTTTTTTTTATTATTTAAAAAAGTTTTTTTTACTTGTTTTTACATTATTGCTGTGGTTTACAATAAAATTAAAGACCACATGTGGAATCCACCTAGCAACAACAACAAAAAAGAGTCAGTTTCCCCAGAACAAGCTGAAGACATCAAAGCATGTTCTGAAGGGGCCTTTTTGATACCAGCTATTTAATGAGCAAGAACAAAAGAAATAATAATCCATCGCTTCTGTTCCTAGTGTAGATGAACAGACTCCGTTTTCCAGAAGGCAAATCCTTTCAATAAATTACCAGAACGAACTTGCAAGATGCTGGAGTTGCAGAAGTGGGAGTGGCCAGCTCTTGTCGGGCGAGATGTCTCCTGGAGTGTGTCCCACCACCACCACCACCACCACCAGCACCAGGGGCCACCCCTGGTTTCAGTCCAGCGAGATGATGTCCGGAGCACTGCCGCCTCCGCTGCTGCTGCTGCTGCTGGTTATCACTCCCGTCTCGCTCCTGCCCGAGGAGCTAACGTGCGTGCTGCTCTCCTGCTGGCTGGTGGAGGTGATGATGCTGCTGCCAGGCGTGCTGCTTGTTAAGGTTGAGGTGAGACTATCCAAAAACATAGGAGGACAGTACTGCTTGAAACAAACAACGAAGAATGAAGAGACTAACTGCACGAGGGAAATGTATGCTCTGAAGATACATCTTCCCTACAACCAGCACAAAAACAGCAGAACCTCGTTAACGCATGCGGAGCAAGCACCCAAGTTCTGCAAACCGGCGAGTAAGCAAGCCAAGATGGGAGCCACGAGCCCATCCCCTCATCCTCCCCCTTTATTTTTTGTTCTCTTATTAGCTTCAGCATTTCCCAGTGCATTAAGGACCACAGGATGATTATTAAAAAAAAAATATTCACATTTACAGAATATTCACTGCCTGTGATCATAGAATGGTTTGGGTTGGAAGGAACCTTAAAGACCATTCAGTTCCACCCCCCTGCCCTGGGCAGGGACCCCTCCCACCAGACCAGGTTGCTCCAAGCCCCCTCCAACCTGCCCTTGAACCCCTCCAGGGATGGGGCAGCCACAGCTTCTCGGGGCAACCTGGGCCAGGCTCTCACCACCCTCACACCAAACAAGTTCTTCCCCACATCTCATCTCCATCTCCCCTCTTTCACTTTAAACCCATTCCCCCTCCTCCTGTGGCTCCCCTCCCTGATCCAGAGTCCCTCCCCAGCTTTCCTGGAGCCCCTTGAGGGACTGGAAGGGGCTCTAAGGTCTCCCCACAGCCTTCTCTTCTCCAGGCTGAACCCCCCAACTCTCTCAGCCTGTCCTCACATGATGGGTATGCTCAAGTTTGTCCGGTGCAATATCCACTTTAGAAAGGCAAACAATAAAGAGTGAGTTTCAAGCCTGGATGTATCACAGTGAGGCTAAACTGCATCCTCCCTGAGCACATCTTCATTGCCACCTCTTGCTGGGAAAATGTGTTTTCCTGGTCTGTGGTTGGGTCTAATCACGGGGACAGCAAACACCGTACAGATGACGACAGCACCCCAACAGTTACTCAAACACTATGTCACAAAAACCGTAGCAGTTCAGAAACATACCTGTGAATCAACTGGGATTAGGGAAAGAAAATCCAGACCTAGAAAAAAAAAAGAGGAGAAGGATAATAAATTAATGAGTCTTTCCTTTTATTCCTACACAATAAATTTAAGGAACTTTTTTTTGTGGTCGTAGAACTGATTTTGCGATTGTTACAGAGTTTCTAAATGGAATATACCACTGTGACACCACTCTCAATGGCTACTTCAGGCAGCAGCGAAACGAGTTATCTAGTACAAGTGGCTCTTTTTAAGAATGAGGATGACAAAATGACATATTATTCACTGGGTATTGCAGGGTGGTTCAATGCGGTTGCTTAGATGGAGGTTGCCATTTGGAGCTGTTGGTTCATAATGCGAGTGTCACTGCATATTGTACCTGACTTGGCCAAACTGGGACATGAAGAGTGTCATCACATTAAGGATGCTGGAATGAAGTAAAGTCACAACATGCACAAGTCCAAAAACAAGCAGCAGGTCTCTTCCTCCACCCACGGGCAGCCAATAAGGAAACATTTCTAATATCATCCCCGTTTTGTGTCTAGACAAATAAAAGGAATGAAGAAGAGGAAACTACAAGTAGTTCAACGTATATCCTCCGAGAGCAGTGACAAGTAGTGTGCCTCTTGTACACCATTGGTGTGTAAGCATTTACGGCAAGGTGTTCAAAATTGTGAAACCAATGAGAAATTACAGCTTTTTTTTTGGTTCTTTTCTAAATATTGGCCTTGTGTTTGCTATGTCAACGGAAAGAAATGGCAAGCTTCCTCCCTCCCTCTTCCCTCACCTCCAAATCTGCTCTGGCCAGTGGCATCTCTCCTCCCCTTCTCCACTAGAGAAAAGTTATGAAGGAGATTCAAGGTCAGCTGCTTTTAGAGAATTTACCATTTTCTTGTGTTTTCGCATGTTCCAGAACTTCAGTTGAGATGGACAAAACAGTTCTAGACTTCCATTCTTTCTATCCAATTTGGCAAGACAGAGCATTTCTTAACAAGGGAGAATTGGAGGGAGGGAGCGGTAAGGGAAGCAAAATGAACAGAGAAACAAGGGCAATCCCATTGCCAAACTGGTGCTGAAAGAAGAGGAAAAAACCCAGAGATGTTGCAGGGGAGAAATGGAGACAGGCAATGGAGGAAGAGGGAAGTACAGGAGGCCAATGTGACACCTGCCACCACAAGTCACCATTTTGTGTGCTCTGGGTTCGTTACAGCCGGCAAAGAGAAACCCCCAGAGCCCCCTCAAATACAGTTTTCTTTTCAAGGAGCCAGGATAGAAAACAATCAGTATCCCCACCTTTTGTCTGATATTTAGCAGCAGGGTTGAAGAATACATCATAGGCATTTAGGGTATGTCTAGGTAAAGAAAGTCGATAGAGGTCAGCTTACATATTGTAGCTCACCTTAACCTTTTTCATACAGTCTAGAACAGAGCACCGCTAGAATCACAGCTACAATTAATGCCTGGGGTTGGGATGAGCCAGCACCATCACTTCTCTAACTTCAATAAGCAGCTGCTCTCCCTCATCTCTACCACGCGGAACAACCGGACGTTTACACACAAATCTAACGGAACGCAGCGAGAAGCATTTACTGGCTGCTGTTCCAAAAATGCCAATTTTCACCCCCAGACGCAACGCTGTTGCGAAACTGGAAAAAGACAGCCTGTACTGGACTTGTCTAGACATCCCATCAGCACGCATAGAGCCTTGTGCCGTTCAAACAAACAAACAAAAATAATACAACAGTTTATCGATTCTCCAGCTTTTACCCACCCCGCAAACGAATAAGGCTGTCACACAAACAGAGGTGAAAACCAGCCACCACCTACCTGGCAGGTCGGGCGAAATGCTGGAGATTGGTGGGTGATGGAATGGTACTGGGTAGTCGGTGAGTGAGGGAGGAATGGCGGCGGCGTCGACGGCGGTGACGCTGGGCACCCGGACAGCAGAGGGCTGATACATGAGAACCCTGTTTCGAACAGCGTGGGAAATTACAGACAACCTGGCCATTAGTCAAGAGAAGAGAAATCAGGCACCGCCCCGTGCTCGCCTTCACAAGGCGACTGTCTTACAGCACAACTACTCACTACACAGCTTTCCACTCTAATTTCCACTTTCGTAACAGTCTTCATGATAAAATGACCGTATCTTGGCTCTCAACAGTGACTGTGACCTACGAGCACGCTGGCATTAAAACAAAGTACAGTGAGTGCTGGAGTCGTTTGTGACAGCCCACCCTTCAGAGCCAGAAATGTGCTTGTTTCCAGTTTCTCCACAAAAACTCTTGCTGTGTTCTAACCTGTCATGCCAAGGGCACAACTGAGCATTACTCAGCCCCTGGAGCACAGATACCACCTGTAGAAGTTAAATATCCAACCCAGCTTTACTCACAGCCTGAACCCCAGCTACATTCAGCTCTCCAGGAACATACAAACCAGTTAAAACCCTTTTGCATCCCCACCTTCTGCTTGACTACTTCACAGAATTGTTAAAAGAGGACACCACAGGCGTTCAGGCACCAGCCACACACATAAAATATTCCATAAACTCCAAATCAGGTGGAAAAAACCCAGAGCCCCACACCCAGCTGCTCAGCATTGCTCCCTCCAGCCCAACATTTATGTGACCCCTGATTTTAGAAGCTTGGATTTCAGGCCCTCCCTTCTACTTAAACCTACGTCGCTTCGGCCTATAGGAAGACACCCCACGTTTTTGCCAAAACTAGAATTCAGGGAACATTACTGATGGGAGATAAGCTATTCCCCAAAAGCCTGGCTTTGACTTGGATTTGAAGAATGAAAACGTGCCGTTTCTGTACCTGGACAATAAGGGAAATGCATTGGTCACAGATAGGCAAGAAAACTGGTTGTAGCTGGCCATCTCAAACAAACACAGGAGCACAGAAGGAAATTCTTGGTGCCTTCTGAAACTTCACAAAGAGATATATTTCTAGCTTTTTTTTCTTATAAAAAAAATAAGAAACAATGTCTTGCAGAAGGACTCCTCCACAATCCTCACAAAAAACAGCAGCGTTTCACTACCACTGCTGAAAGTTGAAGATGAGCAACCATTTGCTCACCAAAGACCACACACTCCTGTGGACTAGAGACACGGTTCGCCTGCTCATCACTTCGAGAGCTGGCAGAACAGAAGGGGTTTGGGTTTATTACAGTTATTTTAGTGCAAGACATAAGCTGCCACACTGAGGGACAGACACACACCTCACGTATACAGCAACACCAACTAATAAGCCATGAACTAGAAGGTGGTGACATGGGAGAGTGTCACTCTCCCCCTCCAGGCCAAGAGGAAGAACTTCATGGAAGCCACCACAGCCAAGTTGCACAGATTGTGACAGACAGAAAAAGGGACAATAGTAGAGAAGTTGTTTAAGCCTGTGGCCAAGTCAGGTGTGACCACAAAGACAGCAGTTGGCAAAGGACTTGGGAAGTTGTGGGATGGGCTAACCAAAGTGCAGGACTGACTGACAACCACGGCAAACAGAGTCCAAGACATTCTGGAGCTTAACAGAGAGATGGAGGAAAAGCTCATCTTGATTCAAAACAGCAAAGACTCTCCTTTCCAAGACTGACAGGATGGATGAAACACACAAGGCAGCCTCACTTCCTGGCAGGTTAAATAAAGGGTGTAACAGAGAGCAAGACAAAAGCCTTTCAGATGACACTAACTTAGCAAGAATGCCTAAAGCTCCTCCACTCAGCATGATCTGCTTTCTCGGGAGAATCCTCTCCATTAGCTTAACCAGCTTCCTTCTCTAGGGAGAAAGATCCCTGCAAACACAGCAACAGTCACCACAAGTCTTTTGTGAGATGTAAACTATTTAATAGCATTTTGCCTGTACAGAGGTACCGTATCAATACAACCTTGGGCAAGGGGGGGCCTAGAAATCCTCCTATGGAAGCGTGGAGCTGGATTCCCGAAGAGAGGTTACAAGTCCGTGTGTCTACACACAGTTTATCTGAGATATTACAGAATAACAACTAACTTTAAAATGGACAAACCCTTTGGTTGGGCTCCCTTGCGTTTCAGACATAAATATGCACTTCCTTTTGGCAGGAGGGTCTTCCTCTTCGTCGGAAGAGCTTTCTATTGTCAAGTCAATAACATCAACTTTCTTCTTGTTTACCTCATTGGCCACTGTCACAGAACATGGTTTGGTAACAACACTGGAACCTGAACGAGAAAAATAAAATATCACTGTTTTTTAAAGGTTGTTGACAACAGTTTCTACTTGCAACAAAAGCAGGGACTCAGATCCTGATTTAGGATTTTTTAGTTGCATTTTCCTGGCCACTACAGACAATGTTATGGTCCAGGGAACTCTTTTATTAGTATTCTCTATCACATTGAGAGTATTAAAGCACAAGCTTTAATCTTGCTTAATGACCTAAAATAAGAACATCTTTTTCTTAATTGTTATTATAAAGAGCAAAGACAAAGGCCCAAAACACACATTTTTAGAGATACAACCCTTTCTATTTAGCTCTAAAGGTTAGAAGTATTAAACTTCCATCAATATCCATACACATTATCCAAGCTACAACTAAATCTCCAAGACTTTTTGTGAATTTGCTGTCAACTGCTACCCAGACAGACATACTTTCTATTTTGGTGCATTGTGGACTTGAGACTTTCACAGCTTCTTTCTTTGGCCTCATGGGGCACCAGGAGCCATCTTCTTGGAACTTGATCTCATCCACATCCGAACATTCATTAAGGATTTCCATAAAAAGCCTGAAAAATAAAGTGGAATTGTTTCATTTTAATTCCAAAGGAAGTTTTTTATTCTAAATGAAAAGACTGAGAACAGCCCTGAGAAGAAGGACTTTGGGGTGTTGATGGATGAGAAGCTCAACACGAGCAAGCAACGTGTGCTGGCAGCCCAGAAAGCCAACTGCACCCTGGACTACATCAAAAGAACTGTGGCCAGTAGGGCAAGGGGGTGGAGAATTCTGCCCCTCTGCTCTGCTCTGGGGAGACCCCCTGCAGGGCTGCCTCCAGCTCTGGGGCCAGCAGCAGCAGAAAGACAGGGACCTGTTAGAGCAGGGCCAGAGGCTGCCACAGAGATGCTGGGAGGGCTGGAGCCCCTCTGCTGTGAGGACAGGCTGAGAGAGAAGGCTCCGGGGAGACCTTAGAGCCCCTTCCAGTCCCTCAAGGGGCTCCAGGAAAGCTGGGGAGGGACTCTGGATCAGGGAGGGGAGCCATAGGATGAGGGGGAAGGGTTTGACACTGAAAGAGGAGAGATTGAGATGAGATGTGGGGAAGAACTTGTTTGGTGTGAGGGTGGTGAGAGCCTGGCCCAGGCTGCCCAGAGAAGCTGTGGCTGCCCCATCCCTGGAGGGGTTCAAGGCCAGGTTGGAGGGGGCTTGGAGCAACCTGGTCTGGTGGGAGGGGTCCCTGCCCAGGGCAGGGGGTTGGAACTGGATGGTCTTGAAGGTCCCTTCCAACCCAAACCTTTCTATGATTCTATAGAAGGAGACACAGAGGAAAAGTTAATTATTATCACCTTCGACCCACTGCATGCACTCTCCCTAGTTCATCTCACCTGAAACCCTGTAATCACAGCCTTCACAGACACCAAAAACTAACAGTATCCCAACCTCCAACACTGCACTCCAACATTACTGCAATTCAGTGATTTCCATACAGAAGCAGAAATCATCCTCCTAAACAACATCAAACTTGACTGAAAGGAGTTAAATTTTAAGGTTAACAGCTTCAGAGATTAGGTCATGTAAGAAGGAGACCTATCCCTAGATGTCACATTTGGATTTCTCCAGAGGAAATCTACCAAGGCTCCAGAGTTGGATGATGCAGTTAGAAGAAAATCTTACTTTGTTTCCTACATGGGAAACAGAGTTTAACAGAGTCTAATGGTTTCTCCCAGTCTAAAGTTTTTTTACAAAAAATATAGTATGAACAGGCTAAATCTTAAGCCCCAAAAGTAGCTATTAAATACATCATGAAAAGTTTTAAGTAACTGTGTAATCTGCAGAACCCCATCTCTTACCCATCTAATATTAGGCTCTCATAAGCTGCCTTTTTGTCACAGACAGGGCAGATCCAGGTCGGTTTCTTTTCGTTCATCTGAAGATAAAGAGCAGCATCGAAACATTGCAGGTGTGTGCAAGTCACAGCCCGGCATGGGATTGTCAGTCTCATCTTTCCCAGCTGCAGGAGATGAATTGGAAGAGCGTCACAAGAGCAGACAGAAGTAGCCCTAGATGTCTAACACCAAAACCAGAGCCAGCAGGTGCAGCAACTCTCTCTCCTCACTGCAGAGGTGCCCAGCACTAAGGTCACTGCAGGCAAACCCAGGCTATCAAAGCACACACAGCCCACTTAGAGGAAGAGTAAAGCCATCCTCAAAGTCTTCACCGCGTCGAAAAAGGTTAGAAATATCTCTGATCGACCTGCATCAGTGTTATTTCTAGGACTTTATTCTTATGAAAAGACCTACTGGAGCACCTGCTTCTATCTTTTTCTTTGAGCCACGTTTTTTATCTTTTAGCCAAATATTTCAAAAGGTTTTTGTGAGCTCCAGTTATTACTCAGATTAATACCCATTTTAACATTTAGCTTAACAGACCAGTCACGAACATAAGGGAAGAGAAACCCCGAGGCAGCCTTAGCTTGATAATTTTGTTGTTTGTTCCAGTATCTGGCAGGATAAGCAATACCTCCAAGATTTGAAGGTTGTTTTGGTTTTTTTAATCACTGTATCCTTAAATATTCTGTCACCCTGCCTAATTAGTCTCAGTGCCTCACTACAGGAGATTAGTCTTTCTGAAGGCTCCCTATACACAAGTAGCAACTTGTTTCTGACTGCACATTCTCAGTTCTGAAACAGAACTGGTTGAATGCTGCGACAATCGTGTAGATGCGCCCTTCTCCCCACTATTTAACTTAATTAACCAGTATAATCCAAAACCCAGTTAAGTTCCTAAAGCAGGGCCTTTTCCAAGCAGCTCAACCCCGCACTAAAGCCAAAAATACCACTCTGTGTACAGTAAATTCCAGCCATACTTACAGGACACATCAGAGACACGCGCAGACTAGTCGTGGCAATCTCACTGTCAGGATCTGCAGTTAGTTTTTCTTTGACTATTAAAATAAATTCAAATGTCATTATTTAAAAAACTAATCTTAATTGGCCAGTACACGTACTTTATTTCCAGCTATCTAAAGAAGCTAAGCATCTAGGAAACTAGTTCATAGCAACAGTACTCTGGGCATGGAGTTTCTTTTCAGAATGCTACGAATCCCCCAAGTATTGTCAGTTCTGGCCTTAAAGAGCCACCAACCACCCTCAGAAAGTACAGAGATGCAAATTAATTGGACTTACTCAGTGCTCTGGAATGGTCGGGGTTTCTGATACCTTTCATTTTTAACCTCTGCAGAAGCATCGCTGAAGTGAGCTGACGAACGAGGTACACAGACATGGAGTAATTCTACAAAGAGCAATTAACCATTAAATATGGATTTCAAACAGCACTGCCACTATCACAACAGGTTACACAGTAAAAACAAAAACAAACCGATTTTTAATAGTTTTGAAAAGCACTGACAGATGACTTCATTGCTGCGCAAGAGGCCAACAGTCTGCCAGAAATCTCCTGCTAATCAAGTCCAATTGTCCTCCTCGAGTTGCGCATTAAGCAGGAAGAATAACTCCACAACCAAGAGACAACCCGGGCTCTTTTTCTTGGAAGTATGATTCACACTGGCGACACCTTCTCATGCATCTAGTCTTTAGGAACGTCTCACCTTAGTCTCCTAAATCCTTCCCTTTTTTCAGTGCCAATCTGTTAGAGGGGAACTCAAAGACAATGATGCAACAGAAGAAAAGAAGAATGCTCCTTCAGGTGCAAACAAAACACCTTCAACTGTGACACAGCTGCACAGATTTCCTTGTACCTTCCCTTTCACTTGCTCTGCAGTTTTAAGCCAAGCCTTACTGGTGAGTAAGAAGCTCAACAGGAGCTGGCAACATGCACTGGCAGCCCAGAAAGCCCCCCACACCCTGGGCTGCATCCCCAGCAGCGTGGCCAGCAGGGCCGGGGGGGGATTCTGCCCCTCTGCTCCGCTCTGGGGAGACCCCCCTGCAGGGCTGCCTCCAGCTCTGGGGCCACCAACAGCAGAAGGACATGGACCTCTTGGAGCTGGGCCAGAGGAAGCTACAAAGATGTTCCAAGGGGTGGAGCCCCTCTGCTGTGAGGACAGGCTGAGAGAGTTGGGGGGGTTCAGCCTGGAGAGGGGAGACCTTTGAACCCTTTCCAGTCCCTCAAGGGGCTCCAGGAAAGCTGGGGAGGGACTCTGGATCAGGGAGGGGAGCCATAGGACATGGGTGAAGGGTTTGACACTGAAAGAGGGGAGATGGAGATGAGATGTGGGGAAGAACTTCTTTGGTGTGAGGGTGGTGAGAGCCTGGCCCAGGTTGCCCAGAGAAGCTGTGGCTGCCCCATCCCTGGAGGCGTTAAAGCCCCATCCAGCCTGGCCTTGGAGCAACCTGGTCTGGTGGGAGGTGTCCCTGCCCAGGGCAGGGCGCTGGAAATTGATGATCTTTAAGTTCCCTTCCAACCCAAACCACTGCATAATTACACCATGTCCCCTCCTCTGAGGTTGGCCACGTTTCCCAGCATTTATTGCTTTTCCCCAATTCACACCGTTTGCCAGTTCCTTTTGTTCTGTGTTCGCTCTTTCTTCAAGGTCAGTAATGAAGAGAAAATTCTGCAAGTCCTACTACTGCAGAATAATAATGGTTTCATCTGTATAACAAACACAACCTGCGAGTCCTTATTTCTACTCCCTGGCAGCCACCTTCTTGTGGCCCCTGTACTGCCTGGGTACTGCATGGGAATTTTAAACAAGAACACTGATGCTTCCCCTCCTCCATTACCACCCAGCTCTTTAGATGAGCAAAGTTATCTAAATGCATGGGAAACTATTATGAAAAAGAGGTATTTTTCTTCCTTAAAGAATGACCATACATTGCACTGTTTATTGCCTGCAGAAAGAATTCTAGAGGCTCAAGTCTGACCAGCTCTGTGGAGTTACTGCCTCCTCTGCTCAGAAACCCTCCCCTATCAGTCAAGTACCTTAACGATGCGAGGCCAATGACACTCCACACAGTCCCCAAGGTTCTCATTTAGAGGATGGATAGCTAGTTCTGACGTTCAGAGCAGAGCACCAACATTAAACCGAAGAACCCACTTCACCTCTCGGCGCAAGGGGGAATTCCTCCAATTCATCTTCTTCCAGCAGAGGATATTTGGGCAGATACAGGGGAGGAAGAAGGCAGGCATCAGCAGGAGAGGCCGGGACCACACACATCCCTGCCATCATGGTAAGATTCTTGTGCTTCATGATTGGGAAGCAACAGCTTAGACCTTTTCCTCCACCTCTGTTTTTGGAAAAAATCCTTTTCTGTCAGCACTGCCTTTCTTTTATTTTCTGGACATTAGCTTTCTCTCCGATTTCTTTTTTAAAATTTTAATTAGTATATAAAAGTTTGTCATGGAATCATAGAATGGTCTGGGTTGGAAGGAACCTTAAAGATCATTGGACACCTCCCACCAGACCAGGCTGCTCCAAGCCCCCTCCAACCTGGCCTTGAACCCCTCCAGGGATGGGGCAGCCATGGGCAACCTGGACCATGGTCTCACCACCCTCACAGCAAAGAAGTTCTTCCTGAGATCCCATCTCAATCTCCCCTCTTTCAGTTACATTGGAGACTCAGTTTGAAACATGGTATTTCTGGTCCGCAGCTTTTGATTATGAAGAAAGAAATACGAGCTAAGCTACTCTGATAATTGAATCCAGAAGGATTTACACAACTGGTCACAGATAGAGGAATATGTAGTTCTTGAGTTCCCAACAGCTGAAAGGACTGCTGCAACAGCTATTTAAACTCAGGAAGAATTCAGAAGTTCCTCATGCCCTCCTTTTCTTTCCTTAGGAAATCCATAAGGGGATTTCTAAACAGCCATGCAGCCATTTTAAAAGCTAATTGCTTTTCAACTCTGATTAACAACTGCAGGTACTAAAAGTAACAGTCACCACTCCCTTTGTCTCCTGCCACCTGAAGTCCACTCTTTTCCCCAACTCCAGCTTCCATGAAGTTTAGCATTACATAATGAAGAGGCATCCATTTTCTCTTTTTTAACCCCTGAGCTCTCCATCCTTCCCCACATTAAGTCACTTTTCCCTCAAGTCACCCAAGCTTCCAGAATACTCTTCCTTCACATGAAAACACACACTGCTTAGATATCCTACATTGCAAACACACACCACACAATATGGACCAACCAAGCACATTCGAGATCCAATCCCAGAAACAGCTGCCACCAACAGCCTGAGACATCCCCCAGTAAACCCTTCCCAGCTACCTGCCATTTAAGAGCTTTCTGAGCTGGAAATTCCACCCCTGTTTTGGTTTATTAGCAAGTGCAATTTTAAATCAACTCACAGAGATGCCATTTTCATATTAAAAAAAAACAAATCTCAAAAGAAGAGAGATGGAAATAGCCATTAACCCCATTCTTCCTATGAAATAAAAATTGATTTTGTAAAACAAATCAGTATTACTTGGTTAGAAAACACAAAAACCTCAAAAGCAAATGCCTGTCTCTTTTTTAAAGACTTTTTCCACATTCTACAGAATATAAAGTTTACCTTTCCAATTTCCGAAGCCCAGGAGATGGAGATCTGGTTTGGCACTGCTGACGACAACCTAACTAGAGATGTTATATTCAAGGGGCGTCCAGGTCTCTTCTGTTCAATTCCATTTTTTGGCGGCGGAGCGTATCCCTACGGAGAAGGAAAGGAGAAGGAAAGTGTTACCCAGTCTCCCTGCTGCACTCTGAAACCTGCCAAAACAGACTCAAACACATCTACAAGAAGCAGGTAAAGCTAAAGACTAAATTCAACATTTACTCTAAGAAACACCAGTCTTTAACAGTCTTATAGCATAAGTCTACCACGATTCTAAAGCATTTTCTGTTTTAAAGTGGTTTTATGGAAGTGCTCAAGAGGTGGAAGAAAACACAGTCCAAGTGATTTCACTGAAAGAATAAAAAGCAATTTTGATGCTTTTTCCCTTTTCTCTGTCCCCATCCCACTGAAAGAGAGTGGAACATCACAAGGAAACAGCCTTAGTGACAACTCCCCATGACTTGCTGTGTTTAGTTCAGTGTTCCACACCCAGAAAACACTTCACTGATTCTATTTAAGAAACAAAGTCTTGTTCCAAGAGCCCCACAACTCTTTGGTGCCCACTTTGCCTCCCATCACCTACACACAGCGCCTTTAGCGAGGGGTTGTCACCTGTACTCTGTCACAGCCCTGAAGAAGGGCTGTAGGTGGAATATCAGCTGTATTTAAGAGCTAGTGGGCTTTGCTGTTGTCTGCAGAAACAAAATAAACTAGATATTGCTTGCTTTCAGCTTAGATGAAGAATTTCATAGAATCATGGAATTGTTATGGTTGGAAGGGACCTTTCAGATCATCGAGTCCAACCACCAACCCAACACTGACAAACAGTAACCCATGTCCCTCAGCACCACATCTGCCCGGCTTTTAGATACCTCCGGGGATGGTGACTCCACCACTGCCCTGGGCAGCTTCTTCCAAGGCTTGACAACCCCTTCCGTGAAGAAATTTTTCCTCATACCCATCCTAAACCTCCCCTGGTGCAACTTGAGGCCATTTCCTCTTGTCCCATCACCTGTTCCTTGGGAGAAGAGACCGACCCCCCCTGGCTACACCCTCCTTTCAGGGAGCTGGAGAGAGTGAGAAGGTCTCCCCTCAGCCTCCTTTTCTCCAGGCTGAACACCCCCAGCTCCCTCAGCTGCTCCTCACAAGACTTGTGCTCCAGACCCCTCACCAGCTCTGTTGCCCTTCTCTGGACACAATCTAGCACCCCAATGTCCCTCCTGTCGTGAGGGGCCCAAAACTGGACATAGCACTCAAGGTGGGGCCTCCCCAAGTGCCCAGTACAGGGGGACAGCCACCAGCCCAGTCCTGCTGGCTATGCTGTTCCTCATCAGGCCAGGATGCTGGTGGCTTTCTTGGCCACCTGGGCACACTGCTGGCTCATATTTAGCCACTGTCAACCAACACCCCCAGGTCCTTTTCTGCCGGGCAGCTCCAGCCACTCTGCCCCAGGCCTGGAGCACTGGACAGCTTTTCTCTGTAGTTTTATTTCCCGTATGTTTGCAAATTGAATCGGGAGCCATCCAGTTCCCTTTTGCTTCTCGGCAAGCACCCATTCTCCAGCGTATCGTGAGCAGAAGGCACCTGTGCTACGTGAAGGAGCAGCTTATTCCCCTCTCCCTGTTCCTGTCGCTATGAAAGGAAGCCTGTCTGCAGCAGGAACTCCAGGGATCTCCGTTCTGAGCTCATGCAGACCCTGCACAGTCCACCCAGCAAAAACACTCACCCAGCACCAGGAGGACACCAGCAAGAGGCTGCAGCCCTACATCTTGCACAGAACCAACTGCCAGATTTCATCTGGTTCAGGACAGTGTTATTCTATACAGAAAACTCTCCCAGAAAGGATATGCTGAAAACCCACACATTCATTTGGTTGGTTTTTTGGGGGTTGTTTTTTTTTTTTTTTTTTTACACCCAGATAAACACTCACATTCACAGCCTAGTGCTTGGAAAAAGAGTCACTTTGGAAGATGCTAAGTCCGACAATAATAAAACAGAAATAAACAGCCTCTTCCACTTGCTGACCAAGTCACTGCCTTTAATCCAAGGACGACTCAGCAGTTGTGACATCTTTTCCAAGGTTTCCAAAGCCTAGTCCATACATTTCACCTCACAACCAAGCCCTGGCTGTGTGCCACCATAGCCCTTTTTTTAATTTCAGACAGGACTGTTGCTCAGTGACAGAAAAGGGACTCTGGTCTGCCAGGCCAGAACTGCAGACAACAATTGCTGAAGAACTCTCTCCAACATGGTTGTCACCTGTAGGAAAGTAAGGGAAGATTGGCGAGGAGGACTGTAAATATGCTCAAGTGACTCAGGTGTGGGGTGCTGGAAAACACATCTATCACACTAATTGTTGCTTAGTTTTGTGTGCTCAACAAGAAGAACATCTGCACTCAGATAACATAGGCCTGGGATGGACTCAGGGACACCTTATTAAACGTACCTGAGATGCTTGCCCTGCTGCTGAAGAGATCAAAGCCCAGCAGAAAACTCTGCCTGTCTGAATCCTTGAAATACAGGCTCAAGCAGCAGGTGGGAGGACTCTCGCTCCCTCACTCCCTTGCTAACAAGGACTCTCATGCTAATAAGGACTCTGGCTCCACAGTGCCGACATCCCCTGCTTGCCTGCCTCTGCCCGGGGGCTGCTTCAGAGGTTCCCCGATCCATGAGGTATTGACATTAAATTGTTCTTTGCCCTTAATCCATGGTTTTGTGGTTGTTCCTGTGTCCTGCCTGCATCGGCTCACACATCACCCTAGATGAGTGTCCCAGTAGCTCTCAGGAACCATGTGTGCTTTATCACCGCAGAGGCAGCAGAGATACAGGTAACAGTTTCACATTAAAAGGAATGAATGATTTGTCATTTCTTTAATCAGACATAGCAGCTGCAGCCTTTTACAGAGCATATTGCTTTGCCTTACTAGGCCTTTCCCTACTAGGGTGACTCTGTAATGAGCTTATGTGGACAAACACACCATCCCCACAATATTTAGGAGAGTACTTCCACACATACTGTCCCAGCCACAGTAATCCTGCTGGTCTCCAACCTAAAACAAAGCTGCCTTGCTCTCAAGAGAGCAAGGATTCAACTCCTCTTACATTTCCCAACTTTTTTTTCTTTTACAGGACTCAAGAGAAGAGCACTCTGCTTGCCTGTCACAACCAGCATCGTCTAGCACTGTTTAATTAGGTTGCCAATACTACTGGCCAGCAAACGGCAATGTTATTTGGGTGTTTAAGTCTTCCATGCTTCTTGCAAGAACGATATTAGTAGGTGGAATCTGCTGTAGCCAGAAAAATCTATCAACAGAAAAGAGGGATTGCCCTTCTATCTGGCTATTTCCAACCTGCCCTGACATATCTGGGTTTGTTCTCTGGAAGAGACCTGCAGTGGTCTATGGGGGTTCCCTGAGAAGAAAAACAGACTACCTTTCTGGAATTTTGCATTTTGTCTTGCCTATAAGAGAAGTCAAAAGAAGAGCCACCTCCTGTAGTGCATTACGGGTAAAATCCTTGTTACTTGCCATGACAACTGAATGAAAGGCTCTACATTTACTCCTTTTAAGTCAGAAGAGACACTGTAAGAGGACACAGATAGTTGTAGGAAGACAAGAAAACCCTGTGCTACCATGATTTGGCACAACTCGCAGCACTGCTGGCACACTGACAGCAATTCTCTGAAGTTTCTAGTAAGGATGGCAGCCAAGGAGATGACCAAGAAGGATTTACAGGCATCTGCAAAGGCATGAACTGCTACACCAGGGAAAGATAGAAGACTTCAGAACTGTACAAGCTGGCAACAGAGGCTGGCATCACTGATCAGTTATCTAACAGCAATACTACTGAGTTGGACAATAGCAGTCACTGAGGAAAAGAAGTTATTTTGCATTTCCTGCAGGAGAAAGGAACCACCAGAGAGACGCAGACAGTGAAGGACCAAACCAACAAAATCTATTTGCAGGAGCACTTGGACTGAGACTATATTTATCATCCAGCTCAGCTGAAGCAGGAGAGGAAAGGAAGTTGCCAAGACCATAGTCATTTATTCACTTTTTCAAGTTTCTGCTGAACAGATTAAAGAATCATCTTATGATGCACAGGAAAAACTTACAGGGTTTAGATCTACAGGAAAGCAATAACCCAACATTATAAACAATTTTTGCTAAGACTGGTATATGTTATGCACAAAATGGGCAGCATAACATATTACAGCAGGGTGTAAACTATTTTAGCAAGACTGAGAATCAGCAGACTGATGTCTACAGGATAACATCAGACCAAATTCTTCTGGGTGGGTTGCTTAAAGAAAGGAATTTCACTGAATTTCACTGAATTTTAGAGTTGGAAAGGACCACAGAGATCATCTAGTCCAACTCCCCTGCTGAAGCAGGAAGACAATCTGCAGAAAAAAAAGAGAAAATCCTCATTCCTCACAAAGAACAAAACTGGCATTTGCAGAAAAAAAAAATACTAGAAAACACAGGAAAGAAATCTCATCTGTCTTCAGTGTGTAAGGGAAGAACAGAGATGCAATGACTAAAGAAGTAAGGTGAAGAGAAGTTCAAGAGTTTTGTTTAAGGTGAGTAGAGGCCACAAAAAAAGCAGTTGTGGTTGTATATGGCAGGAGAGAGGGTACAGGACAACACATCTGACACACTGAGAAGGTGACGAACATTCTGAACAGGAGGTTTCACACCTCTCTCCACACAGCACTTTTCAAACCTGCTGCCAGGAAAGAAAACTCTGTACTACTACTTTTTCCATCCTCTATAGCTTCTGAACTACTTCAGAATGGGTTGTGTAAGAGTTTCTCTCTGTTCTATTGGACAGACACCCATTGCAGAGATCTTTCCACCAATAAAGAGTGCGCTTTTCCCTTTTTGCATATATCCAAGCCTTGAGGTGACCCTGCTTCCATACTAATTTTTCCAATATCAGAAACCAGTAGAGTGTATGACTGCCAACTTGCTATAGGTGGCTAAAACACAATTAATCCATGCAGTGGCTATAACTTAATTAAGAGTAGTAATGGCTTATCTCACACAGCAAACATAGAAACCATATGCCTAACATTAATAACTAGAGAAATTTGAGTGATAACAGTAAACAGCTCAATTGTTTTAACAAGCTAACATTACAGGAAAGAAAAAATTAAAAAAAAATAAATCCCACACCACAAAAAGTCACAAAGAAGCCACAAATACAAACAGACAAGCTTACCGGCAATGGAAACAGCTTCCCATTTACTTTAATACACAAACTATTAGGGTAATTATCTTCTTGAGGGCAGCTTGTCTCTGCTAGGCATAACCTACAGCCCCAAAAAGAGAAAGCGTCATTTTCAAGTGTCACCATATTCATGTGTCCCTGCAAACATCTAGACTCATATTACATTGGCTAATTAAGAAGTGATAAAACAACACAATTAAAAAGGTACCTTAGTTGGACTTGGACTGTGTAATCTCTCCTGCCTCCTGGTAAAAAGTCCCTGTGACAAGAGAAAGAAAAAGAGAAGCGCCCATTTAGACAGCAGATCTCATATTCCAGTCATATGCAGAAAAAACTGGCAGGCGCACCCCAACATCACTAAACTTTGCTCTCATTTTAATTTTATTGAGCTGTGAACAAGCCTTACGAGCGACACCGCTGTTTAGCTCCTGCAAGCCAAGCAGGACTTTAGGATCAGCACCTCCTGTCAAGAGTTTATAGTAACAATAAAATACGACGTTGCCAGAGAGGAAAAAACCCTATGAATTCTCTTGGCTTGCACCCTAGGTCTTGCAACAACACAAACCCTGGGACAAAAGATAAAAGCAGCCTTCCATTCCTGCAGCCAGGAAAGATGCAGGGAAGAAAACCTTACCACCTCCCTAAATAGTCACAAACATTTGGAACCGAGTAACTGTTAACTCTTCAGTGGGGTAGGATTTACCCCACCCACACACAAATTCTGTGCCTGGTAGCTACTGAAGGAAACCTCCTGGGCTGGTGGGAGGTGTCCCTGCCCATGTCAGGGGGTTCAAACTGGATGATCTTTAAGGTTATTTCCAACCCAAACCATTCTATGAGAACAGAACAGATAAACTCAGTGTTAACTTCGGTGAGGATTATCACTCTGCACCTGCAAGCTTATGCGAGGCATAAAATGAACTAAAAAACCCCGTTCTTACCTGGAAATACAGATTTCTCTGACCTGCTGAGGTGTTAAAGCAAAGATAAAAAACTTCTCTTGGAACCTCTGAATACTGCTCTGTACTAGAGAAAAAAAAAAAGAGACGAGAAACAAAAGAGGTTTAACCATGGTGATTAAAGTCATTGATTAAAACAGGATCTGCAATTGAGTTTTTCCTGGAACGAGGCATAAGTCACTTAATATAATCAAATTGGGGGTTGAGCTGCATGTAACTGTCAACAGGAAAGCAATGGAACAAATCATTCATTCAACTATATTCAGCTGGCTTAATATCACATTACACTTCAGCGCTAAAGCAGCTTGGCAAGGCGCGTTATAATCCCTCCTCCCACGGGAGAAAGGTTCAAACGAACACACAACAAAACATAACACTGGATACCTGATGAAAAGAGGATCACAGAGAAGATGTTTACAACTATTTTAAGGTACTACAAGAGGAGAACGTGCACCAGAAGTTATTAGTGGAACAGCCAGAATTCCAATTGGAATGGTAACTCAGCCTTTGGGGAGGAAGGAAGGGAGCACCACCCCTAATGCCAGAGAAGACTCCAAGTCTGGGAATTACCCCTCATCAGCATTTGGAGGAAAAAAAAAAAGTAAATACAGCTTTTATATCAGAATCCTACTTGTCTGTCAGTGATGGCAAGCAGTAATATTTTAGTATTAAACATTCATAATATGTACATATTACTTCTTTATTTCCACTTGAGAAGTTAGAAATCTTGACCTGAAATAAAGGTAGATTGGACTTGTCCAAGAGTTTAAAACAACCAGCTAGGAGGACAAATGCAGAAACAGCACAACTAAACCAGGCAAATTTGGAAAAGCCACATTGTCTTGTACACTCTGATGTTTACAGAACATTGTCTTTATGCCCAGAACATACACGCACACAAAGGACACAAACATGAAACAGAACCCAAGTGGAACAAATACACAAACCAAGTTCCTCAAACAATTTAAAACAGCTACATTGCACACTTACATACACACACCACAGACAGCATTTTGTATTTCAAAATTTGACCCTTAAGCATGCATTCAAAAGGTCAAGGAAATCGTCTGTTACTGAATTGAGTGTGGGTTAAAACTAAACCCCGCACCTACACCTGCTCTTGTGTTCTCATACTAGTGTAAAAGAATACCTACATCCATCTCTTTTAAAGAGTCACAGTGAAGTAGACTATACTCCTAGTTCTGACCTATTTGGTCCAAATCCTTCATTCTCAGACATAAAAAAACTTGTTTCTTCCATGTCCCAATCACCCAAGCCTACTAACTGGGACTGTAAGATATCCATCTCAATTTAAAAGTCTTATATAAAGCCTCATTTCCACATGAAGCCATGTTGGAGTGATTTTCAGACAATGTTCTTAACCTTTCAACATCAGAAGGGCCAATTATTTCTACATCAAGCCATTCTTCCATATCAGTTCCCCAGATCCGAGTTGTTGCTCTGGCTGCTGCTACCTCCAAGTACCATGCTCTGGAAAGAGTTTGAAGGCAAGCAAGTACTCAGTTAAATTAATCTTGTCCCCCTCACCCATGTCCTAAGAGGACATGATTGTTACAGGACTAGATAATCCTTACTCCTAATAACAAGAGGCTCTGGTGAGACCCCCACATGGAGCACTGTGCCCAGCTCTGGAGTCCTCAGCACAGGAAGGACATGGACCTGTTGAAATGGGTCCAGAGGAGGCCACGAAGATGCTGGGAGGGCTGGAGCCCTTTTCCTGTGAGGACAGGCTGAGAGAGTTGGGGGGGTTCAGTCTGGAGAAGAGAAGGCTCCGGGGAGACCTTAGAGCCCCTTCCAGTCCCTAAAGGGGCTCCAGGAGAGCTGGGGAGGGACTCTTGATGAGGGAGAGGAGCCACAGGATGAAGGGTAATGGCTTCAAACAGAGAGAGGAGATTGAGATGAGATGTGGGGAAGAACTTGTTTGGTGTGAGGGTGGTGAGAGCCTGGCCCAGGTTGCCCCAAGAAGCTGTGGCTGCCCCATCCCTGGAGGGGTTCAAGGCCAGGTTGGAGGGGGCTTGGAGCAACCTGGGCTGGTGGGAGGTGTCCCTGCTCATGGCAGGGGGTTGGAACTGGATGGTTTTTAAGGTCCCTTCCAACCCAAACTATTCCATGATTCTACGATGGAGGATGACCAAGCATCAGTATATGCCTCATGAAAGCACAAGTTACAGCCTAAAAGACTCTATTAAGAAACTAAAACGTTTAAGAGGATGCAAAGAGCTTGCAAAAGGCTGAAAGCATTTCAAAAAAATATTACTAAACAGTTCGGGAACATTTTCTACCACATAAGGTAAGACTGCGTCCAGTTCTGGGCTCCCCAGTTGAAGAGAGACAGGGAACTACTGGAGAGTCCAGCGTAGGGCAACTAAGATGATGGACGAATTGGAGCATCTCCCTTACAAGGAAAGGCTCAAAGAGCTGGGGCTCTTTAGTCTGGAGAAGGCTGAGGGGAGACCTCATCTATGTTTACAAGTTCCTAAAGGGTGGGTTGAAGGATGTTGGAGCCGGACTCTTTTCAGTGGTTTCCAGCGATAGGATGAGGGGCAACGGGCTCAAGCTGGAACACGGGAAGTTCCACTCAAACATGAGGAAGAACTTTATGGTGAGGGTGGCAGAGCCCTGGAGCAGGCTGCCAAGGGTGGTCGTGGAGTCCCCTTCTCTGGAGATTTTCAAGACCCACCTTGATGCAGTCCTGAGTGATGTGCTCTGGGCAACCCTGCTTTGGCAGGGGAGTTGGACCAGATGATCTCTAGAGGTCCCTTCCTACTCTGACAATTCTGTGATTCCGTGACAGGCTGAATTTCAAGACAGAAAACAACACTATTCCAAATAATTAAATATGTTTAAGAGTAGAGCATCTGAGGAAGTTGAAGTGAGATTTCAGGTTATTTGGAAGCCAAACATCAACTCAGTATTTTAAATATATGGTTTTGCAACGACCCATGGGCTGAGAAACCTTCACTAATCCGATACAACACTGAACTTTGCTGCACAAAGTATCCATTTCAGTGCCAGATGTCCAAACTTGCAGAATTGTTGCAGTGAAATAAGCCTAAACTAACAAACCAGTGAATTTGCCCTCTTTACCTTGTTGCAACTAATTAATTTCTGACCCTGGAACCCTTTTCCTGTTGGCCCTGGTAGATGTACCTCACTTGTACCAGGCAGAGACTTCAGCTCCAAATCTTTCAGCCAAAAGTGGAGGTTCAACGTAGGTATTAGGAAGCACTTCCTTACCGAGAGGGTGGTCAAACACCAGAACAAACTTCCCAGAGACATGGTCAATGCCCCAAGACCGTCCGTATTTATGAGATGTTTAGACAATTAACTGTTACTCTTGGCCCTTAACTATTACTCTCTAACTTCTGGTCAGCCCTGAAGCGCTTGGGCAGTTAGATGACCACTGTAGGTACTTTCCAGCTGAATGACTCTATTATTTAATATTTAAGAGATAAAGATCTTTATTCATATAATATTTACAGAAGAGAACACTATTTTCTGAAGTGTGGTTTTTGGGGACTAGTGGTGGAGACGGGGCAAGGGTAGGGATGAGAAAGGAAGGGAGTTTCCACCTTTTCCCAGCTGCAAAAAGCTATTTAAGTCTGGTCTTAGCAGTCATGAGCAACACCTATTTCAGGAATTAAACACTTACCTAGACTTGTAGGTTTTATGAGCACGTCAAGCACGTCGTAAAAAGGGAGGCTTTTCAGTTGAACGTCAGGATGAACGGGTGGAATCGGAGGGGACGGCTGCTGCATCTCAAAGTGGGGCTTAGTGTCTTGGAGGAGCACGGAACCGACAGGTGAAGAAGGAGACTGAGGCGTGACGGAAGTCGAAGGGAGCGGGTGAATGCCAGCAACCGCCAGGTCAGACTCAACAGGAGAGGAACTATTGTCCAGATTGAAAACCGCCGGTTTTATGGCTGTTAAGTCCGAAAGTCCTTCAATCGTCCTTGGGTACCGGCGCCTATAGAGTTCTCTAATTTTTATCTGAACTGCTGGGCTGCAGCCGCTCTTCAGTAAGTGCAGTGCCCTCATCAGGAGGTCATGTTTCCGTCCGCTTTTATTACGTCCAGCAAACCCCAACAACACTTGTAGTTCAGAAACACGAAAACTTGATACCATATTCTAGAAAGAAAAAGAGAGAGATAAGCACAAGTGAACCAACAGTACCCCAAACAGACTTTTTTGAGGAGCATCATAAAGCATCTGAGCTTCCATCATTATAGTTCCACACTTGCTATCTTAGATACTACCCACTCCCTTACCCAATACAAAAGAATGGTTAGTTTAAAACAAAGAAACAAAAACCGTCCAGGATCAAGGTAGAGCTTTGTTGTGTTATTAATTTCAAAGACTTCCAATTGTTCTCATACTCAAAAATAACATCATCTTATTGCAATCCATGCAGTGTTACCTTAACTCACAGATAGAAGCACAAGCTCTAACACAAAAACCTGTCTCACTTCATGAAACAAAATGAAAAAAATCAGATGAATGAGTAACACTACCTGTCTTCTAACACATTTTAAGAAATAAAATAAGCAACTGTTTAAGTTCTGCATAGTTTATTCTGAAACATTCTATAGTTTGGGCAGGATGTTATATGCACGCATGAACAGAGACAGGCACACCGGGTTTTGCTCTTGAAAGGATGGCAAACTGCACACTTTTTAAAAGATAAATTATATCACACAAACAAACTGTTTAATCAACGTAACTGATTCTTCCAGAATGTCACAGAAAACTACCTGCCCTTTTTGTATGACTTTCTGGTACTGTGGGACACTGCAAGATGTCTTTAAAGAGTTAGTTTATCAGAGTTAGTTTTGAAAGACTGAGGACTGAACTGTGAATTTCATAAAGATCCTCATTTTAAAATAAGAATAAATAAAGCCCACTACGCAAGAAGTAATATTCTCCACCTGTTCCTAAAAACAAGTAACTTAACATAGGTGCATCATCTCACATTTTTGTGAGTAAGCTCTCTTTTCAGAGGTATAAAATTGTCCAGAATTCTTCTAAGCCACTTCATATTTCTGTGGGATTCTTCCACTGTAATAAGGAGGTTAAGTTTAAAAGATGAAAGAACATCTGACTTTCATCTGTGCCACTCTACTGTACCAACTCCAGGCTCAAGGACTGGCAGATGAAGGCCCAAACAGATGGTATTGAAGTAGTAGACATCTGGGACCATAAAAGATATCTTGAAAAGCAGTTCAAAAGTGCATTGTTTGACTAAACAACGTTTAAAGCTTCGGGCATTGTATTTTGAATTGTATCCCTTCTGAAGCCAATGTTTTGGGTTTACTTTCCCTAACCCTTACTATAAAGTTACAGAGTTTACACCCATGTATTCTAACGTGAGATCTGATCTTGGCTGAAGTTTAACAGAACTGTCCAGTCAGCCACCAAAAATGTCTGAACTGCCCCCTTAATGTTGAGAAAATTGTTTGGGTTTTTTTTAATAAGGCAGATCAGGGAATTAAGCCAGATGAAAAAAACTTCACAGAATCATAGAATGATTTGGGTTGGAAGGGACCTTAAAACTATCCAGTTCCAACTCCCTGCCCTGGGCAGGGACACCTCCCACCAGACCAGGTTGCTCCAAGCCCCCTCCAACCTGGCCTTGAACCCCTCCAGGGATGGGGTATCCACAGCTTCTCTGGGCAAGTTGACCCAGGGCCTCACCACCCTCACAGCAAAGAATTTCTTCCTAATATCTCATCTGAATCTCCCCTCTTTCACTTTAAAACTATTACCTCTCCTCCTATCAGCTCACTCCCTGATAAGGAGTCCCTCTCCAGCAGCACCCTTCAGGTATTGGAAGGCCATTATAAGGTCTCCCTGGAGCCTTCTCTTCTCCAGGCTGAACCCCCCCAGCTCTCTCAGCCTGTCTTCATAGAAGAGGGGCTCCAGCCCTCAGAGCATTTTTGTGGCCCCTGCTGGACCTGTTCCAACAGGACCATGTTCTTCCTATCTTGAGGACTCCAGTGCTGGACACAGTAGTCCAGTTGGGGTCTCACAAGAACAGAGGGGCAGAAGCATCTCCCTTGCCCTGCTGGCCACGCAGCCCAGGATGCCAGGGGCTTTCTGGGCCGCCAGCACGCACCACTGTGCTGGCATGTCAAGCTTCTCATCCACGAGTACTCCAAAGTCCTTCTCCCCAGGCTGCTCACCATCCACTCTCCACCTAACCTGTATGTGTGCCATTACAAGCCAGGAGGAGCAAACAGCCAGGACCTGCCTTTTCAAGGACCACATTATTATCAAAATAACCATCTAAAATACCACGGTACTACTCTCCTCGGGCACACCCTCGCCTTATTGCTGAGGGGACAAAGTTATCCATTTCAGATATTCAACTGCAACATTTCCAGCCAGCCAGTCTGGATAATGTTTCTATCAAGAGGCTAACCCAGCAGCCTTCAAGCTGGTATTCCCCCAACACCCCATCCATGGAAGCAATTTGCAATTGCCAGTGACAGCAGTGTCACAGGAGACATCGAGTGGTTCACCTTACCTTCTGAAGAAGGGACCAACAGCAGATGTCACCTTGATTTCACCCCAGCAACTTCCCTCAACAGCTAAATTAGACAAAAAAAGAGGAGATGGACACAGAAATCCAACCAGTTTGCAAGCTGCTGGAGAAGATCAGTGTCCACCCGGCCACCTTAGTGTCCCCTGCTACCCTTCCTTAGTCTCACAGTCAAACAGGATGAAGAAAATAAAGTGTTTCAGTATTCATAAAAATAGCTTGAAGTACTATCACAGCTTTAAGCCACATAAAAGAGAAATAGCGTTAAAAGATAATACTGATATTCAAGAATTTACTGAGAACTTCACGTTGTGTGTTTCCATAGATAGCTGCATAAGCTTGATGGCAACGTCAGCCCCTTTATTTCAGATGCAGAGAGCAAGCATGATTCTGGATCCATAATCAGAATGCAAATGAATAAAATAATCCTTTACATAGAGATGAAGGAATCAGCATGTAATGCAAAATACTGGCTATAACCCTGCCTGCTGCCTTCTGTGCATTCCTGCAAGTTAATCAAGGTGAAATGGGCAGTCAATCACGCTTTGAAACAGCTAACATTTTATGCGGAAATTCCACAAACTGGCATTTTGTTACAAAATAGATTTCGTTTTATTAGAAGACGCCGGCTGGCTTCAATACCATAGTCAGCAAGATTTTTAAATTGACACCTCCATTAAAAATGCCTGGGAGTATTAAAAAAAATAAAAATACACTGTTTCGTCCATCAACACACAAAAAAAATCTTAGGTATGGTTTTAAAAGAAGTCTTGCAAAAGTGAGTTTTACTGGAAGTAATTAAACAATGGTTTTTGCAACATTTCCCCCCACACACTAAAGCTGATTCTATGTTCCCTTTAAGGCAATAACAACAACAACACACATGAACAGCGATCTACACGTTTAAGCTTATTACTCCATTTACAGATATATCAAAGTGGACACTCATTATAATCAACAAGCTTTTATGGAGGCATAACATATGTTTAGGAGCATTTATAATCATGGTGCAAGACAGATATTACTCCCAACAAACCCTACCAAGTTATTTTCTTTTGAGGTTCCAGCAATATTGCAGCAGACTGCAGCCTAGCTATTAACATGCTTTTCACATCCCTGAATTAAGATTAGACATTCAAGTTGTGTCATGTAAATGCCATCAATTTTCTCTTAAGAGAAGTTCTTTACAGCTGCACAGCCCAATAAAAAGCTTTTTTAACACAAAAGACCAAAGCCATTTTACTTTTAATGTTTCTCCATGAACACGAAGAGTAGTTTGACAGAACTTCAAGGAAGGAAATCAGGCTGGATAATTCAAGTACTTTTTTTCCCTTGAAATTCATACTTGAAGGTCATAAGAAGTTCCATGCTTTTTTGTTGTTGTTTTGTTTCATATTGTTAAACTATAGCAACCATGAATCATAAGCAGAAATTTTTGTTCTGAAGCATTAAGCTGTAGGTGTATCTGGAATGGCACTCATTTCACAGGGACGATGATGTTATAGGAGTCCAGAAAATGCTGACACAGCGCTGAAATTAAGGTCAGGCATGTTTCAGAGCAAAGTAAGGGATCAAACATCTCTCAAACAAGAGGTACATGACTCTCCACACTCCCCTCACCAAAACTACCTGCAATTTTAACAGTCGTTGTACTTATATATATAAAAATGGAAGGCAACCAAAAATGCCTGTTAAATTCTTGACATACATCTACAGTAAGAACCAACAACTGTAGCTTCTAGGGCAACCACAACTGCTCAGGTAGTGAACCCTACACTTGAATCCGCAGAAGCAACCCAAATTGACTCAAAAGTTGTCCTCAGTCCCCATCACTCAAGAGCTCTGCTTCAGCTCCACCAGGACGTTTTCTGAAGGCCACAAAAGGAAGGGACACACCAATGACCAACCCCACAAATCCTCACACATGACTTCAAACCCTTTTGTGGATGCTCATAGCAGAGAAGCACTTATATGACACCTTTTGAAATAAATTTGCATACACAGTGATTTACATCGGGCTAGAAATGTGGAATAGTGGTAAGAAAGAGCACATTGTGCCTTGGGATAGTTGTAGACCTTAATGCTAATCCTGAATGCAAATGTATTCTGGAAACTGATGTAACTATAGATAAAAAACTGCAAGTCCTGCAAAACAAAGATTTAACTAGTGACATCTTTGTAAGAAGTATAGCACAGTAACAGTAGCTCTGAAGAACACAACAGTTGGTGCAACCAGCATGACCATCAAGTCCTCAGTATTAGGGGGATTTCCCTCTAGCCTGGCTCCAAAGTTAGGCATTAGTCTTCAAAGTTGCAAGCATTTAATCTAACAGTGAAAATCCTAAATCAAATACTTGCATTCATTTCACATAAGATACTCAAAGCTTGATCCATTTCATTGCAGCCTCAGTTTTTAAGGACCATAAACTACATTATCTCCTTCCTCTCCCCCATCAATCATTAATTGTTAATTATTCTAGATAGAACAAACTTTTAAGGTACCACGATAAGCCTCATTGGTCTGAAAGACCAACTATGCACCTAGGAAAAACAGGGGAATTACATACAGGTACAAGATAACAGCATATTA